TTCTATGGGAGCTATATGATATAGACGTCCGATTTTGATAAAATTTAAACCATAATTCTGAAATATTTAACCATTGCTATATGTCGAAGAACTAAACAAAAAATTAAAAAACAGAAAAGTTATAATTTTTTTTCATTTATTTTTCCGATTGTTCCTATGGGAGCTATATGATATAGTCGTCCGATTTTGATGAAATTTAAACCGTAAATCGAAAATATTTTACCATTACTAAATGTCGAAGAACTAAACAAAAAATTGAAAAACAGCAAAGTTATAATTTTTTTTCATTTATTTTTCCGATTGTTCCTATGGGAGCTATATGCTATAGTCGTCCGATCCGGCTCGTTCCGACTTATATACTACCTGCAATAGAAAGACAACTTTTGGGAAAGTTTCATGCAGATAGCTTTAAAACTGAGAGACTAGTTTGCATATATACGGACGGACAGACGGACATGGCTAGATCGACTCGCCTAGTGATGCTGATCAAGAATATATATACTTTATAGGGTCGGAGATGTCTCCTTCACAGCGTTGCAAACTTCTGACTGAAATTATAATACCCTCTGCAAGGGTATAAAAATCATACAGAAATGAATTTAACCAAGTTTCAGTAAAATCGAGTACGCTCGCATCAAACGAAACAGTATTTGCATACAACTTATTAAGCTTACCTAATAAGCTGCGTAAATTTTGATAGTGTATGGTAAAGGACGAAGTAAATTTTTTGAGCGTGTGGAGGCGGCAGCAGTTTGTACAATGGGAACTAGTGTTTTAGGTTTGTTAATAAACTCATGAGCTATTATATGGTCAGGCCAAATGAAAAGATTGAGGGCTTTCTCAAATAAGGGTTGTTACGGGAGAAAGAACAAGAAAGAAATAGATACAATAACCAGAGACAGAAGACACTGTGAAGTGCAGGTGGCGAAACACCGAAATTGGCCAATACAGTAACCAGCAACGAATTGGTCAGAGTAAGCAATTCATGAGAACATACAGCAGGCAATAGGTGTACGCAGCAATTAATATGAAACCTAGCAGAATCCAGAAGTGGGCCATTAAGCCAGAAAAAGGGGAAATGCTGTACCTAAGTGGGAACACTTGGATGACCCGGAAGCAATACCACCGGTATAAAAGAGCCCCCATCTAGGTTCGAAAGAGGACAGTCCAAGATGATTCCGAATCGGGCAGTCATAGTCCAAGATAATTGAGAATCGGGAGTTGAGACAGAAACGACCATGGAACCGCGTTAAGTTCTCTACTGGCAAAAACAGTAATCGCGGAGGACCTATCCGAGTGATCGAATTTAGACCCCGGTAGAAATATAACTTATATATCATGGGATCTACAACCTCGAACGCATCCGACAACACGGCAAAAGTGGTGAGCAACGTCGAAATTGTAGACCACAAGGAGGACATAACCAAAGTCTACAATGTTTGTGCCTCATTAATGGACTCTTGATCCTTATGTTGATTCTGAACTTCCTCCGAATTTACAAGCGATCTGTGCAGAGCCATCGGGACCACGGACACGAGCTGGAGAAACTCATAGCTGCCACCGCCAATTGGCCAGAAAGGAGCCAGCACTAACATATCAACCCGTGCAAAAATAACATTTATTTATTATTATTTCAATTTCGGCAAAACAATCAACGACACCCATCAATAATAAACAAACAATTAAATGCAAGCAAAAGACCAAAGTTTCTATTTGTAATTGGAACCACCAGAAGAAGCCGCAGCTAGAAGTGCTACCGTCAACCGTCGCGAGTGCCGTTTTCACTCTTCTCTCTCTCGCAATTCGTATCGCAATAAAGCGAATAACTTTTTTTTCTTCTGTTTGTGAAATAAGACCAACATCGCGCAATTGCCCAAGAAATGACAATTAACATAATTTTTTTTATTTAAATTAATCCAACACTTTGGTAATTATGTTAAGTGAATTTGCACTAATATAAATATATTTATGCATATGTGTATAATTAATTTCCCAAACCCAGAATACCACAATGATAGCTCTCGTCGATGGAAATAAAAAGGGGTAAGTGAGTTGCGTTCGACTTACTGTCTAGCAAAAGTATATATATATATATATATATCGAATCCTCATACATTAAATTTAAAGTCCTGTAAGATCCCTATTATTATTTTTATAAATCAACTCAAAATATTATTCTACAAAAATTTATTTATTCTCAACAGTGTTATTATACGTTAATACAAATATTATATACACCGCGTAGAATATTTCTCAATTTAATTAATTTGGCACCCTAATTACTACTTTATTTGTCAATTAAATGCGCACTTTTTTAAATGAAAAATCTTTTCAATAAATTATAATATGAAGCAGAACTCAATAATGGGAGCTGGCGCAAATGGAAAAACTCGGGTCAAGAACAGTGACGTAACTTTCGACTGACGACATTGACAATAGGGGATCGCATTGCAGTGGCCGGCGGCGATCCATCGGCATACGGGAGGTATGAAGGGGCAGGGTAAAACAGCCACACGCTGCCGATCGGCTAAGCGATTCGGTCAAGCGCTCGAACTAGCTACTTGAGAAGCTTGTGGGCAGCGACGACAAATGACAAAACGAACTGAACGATCTCTATCTTTTTCCTAAGGCACGATAAATTTATTCTCGTTATGTAGGGGAGGGAGTGGTTTCCAAAGAACCCACCCCATCTGGCGAGCTGAGCCGGCAACCAGCGTGCCTACCCAGGACGCAACTCCCTCGGCCCAAGTCCTTTGGACTGGGCACTAGGTCACCGACGTAACAGGGTGTCAAAAAGGGCAACCTTAAAGGATGATATATCTCTCACTTGCTTAATGTTGAACTTTGTGTCAGCAAAATCAGACGTATAAGCATTTAAACTCAAGTGGGATTTAACATCATCAGTAGTAGCACCCGAGTTCAAGCATTAGATGAATAAGGTTAAATATCGGGCAACACCAAAAATTGCACTGGGCTTTCGAGGTACAACGCCCGAGATGGGGATTGCTGGTTCTGACACTTGTACATTATTGGAAGATGAAGGTTGGGACTTCAATGACCTAATGTTCCCAGTAACGGGGAAATCAGCAGTGGCAGTGGGTGGATTAGGCGCTTGTACTTTAATGGAAGATGAAGGCAAAGCATTCACAGTAGAAAGCAATTTCAATAACAATGCATAGGCTTTAAACTCGGTTAAAATAAAAACGCCATTATTTCTATAATTTAATCAAAACTTCACAAAATTAACAGATCACATAAACACAACCGCTCACAAACGACGCTAAATCGTTATACCCCCGCATCTATTGTAAAAATTACATATTCTTTATGCGTATATGTGTATAAAGCGTTGAAGCTTCGATAATTTTCAGCTACATTGTTCAAGCGTTCCTATAGCAGCTAAATGATAATGTTTTTCGGTAATGAAAGCCGTTATTTTGAATTATTACAACATTTTTTTTTAATATTCCGATTGTTTTTTTAATGGGCAATATAATATAGTCGTCCGATTTCAATCGAATTAAAACCGTTACTGTGTCTCAAAAAACTAAAAAATTATTTTAAAAAACACCCGATCTGCGCCGTTTTTTAACTTGATTTGCGTACACATAAAAAAACACGATAGAAAAGTTTTCTCTACACATAAAAAAACACGATAGAAAAGTTTTCTCTAGTGTTGGTGTGTACTTAGGTGAAATAACATGAGGCTATCTTTTACCTTAGCCAGGTAAAAAAATGTTTACTACAAGAATATGCTCTGTTAGGTATTAAGTTACAGAAATATTTATATTTTTGTATTATTTTCGCAAATATGATAATAACCAAGAAAGGAAGGAAACATCAGCTAGCCCAAGTTAATATACCCTTGCAGCTATTGCAAAAATTTAATATTATTTAAAAGGTATTGATTTCGAAATATGCGTATTAGTTTAAAAACATTGAAGCAATGATGATTTTTAGCTCAATTATTCGATCGTTTCTTTGGCAGCTATGTAATTTAGTTTTTCGTTCGAAATAAAATAAAAAGTATAATTTTTAATTATAAAACAGTTCAAAAGAATCAAAAAAAAAATTAAAAAATTAAAATAGTTAAAACTATGTTGTTTGTCAAGGTTTTTAATCTTCCGATTATTCTCATGGGACTTAAGGGGGTCAAGTGACGACCCGTATTATAACATGGGACTTAAGAAGCTACAAATTTGCCTTTGTTAAAAACAAGAAAGCAGGCAATTTTAGCAAGTCGAAGACCCTTGAAGCTTTTGCAAAAATGAAAAATTCTTGAAAACATTTAAATTTAGAAATTTTTGCGTATATGTTTAAAAACATTGAAGCTTTGTTGATTTTCAGCTCAATTATTCGATCGTTCCTATGGCAGATAAATGATATCGTTTTCCGATTTGAATAAAACTAAAAGTGTATTTCTACACTATTAAATCATTACTAAGTCAAAAAGATTTTTTTTAAATTAAAAAAAATTGAGAATTTACTTTTTTTTAATTTATTTTTATAAATAAATTGATTGCTCCCATAGGAGCTTTATGATATAGTCGTCCGATTTTGATGAAATTGAAGCCGTAATTCGGATGCATTGAAGTGATACTATATATCGAAGAAATTATAAAATTGAAAACAAACAGCAAAGTAATATTTTTTTTTTTCTTTTTTTTTCGATTGCTCCTATGGGAGTTATATGTCGTCCGATCCGTCCCCCCCTAAAGAAGAACGAACCTAAACATGAAGGCTTAAATATCGACATGCAGTTCTTTAAAGAATACTTAACTTTAGCAATGGATAAAAGAACAGATATATAAATGAGAGATAAATGTTGTTTTGAGTTTTGAATACAAATTATTAAACTGTTGTTCTTAAATTAAAATTAAAAAAATATTTTTTTCTTATTTTTGGTTTAAAAGTCAGATCATAACTCTTAATTATAAATTAAAAGTTTGCATCAAAAATCTCGAAATATAAAAAACACGTTAAGAATTTATTATACGTACTTTTGAAAACAGTCACGAATCAGTTTGAAGTTGTGAGTAATCCTATTGACTAGTGCGCCTAAACAAGAAACACAACTAGTTACTTCGGCTTGGTTTCGTGAAACAACTAGTAACATTAAGTGCTCTTCCAACGTTGCCAAAAAAGATTCACTGGCATTGTTAACCAGAGGGACTACTTTTTCGAGAATATCCGCAACAGCACATATGAATTTAGCAGCTGTGGCAGAATGACATTTTATATTAAGATAGGGCTCTATTGTCATAGCATGTCTAATTAGCAGTTGCGGCCGCACTTTAGCTAGCAAATGCAGTGTGGTAATACAACCCAACATTCGCGCATTATCAGTGCCCTCTAATTCAATCAGTCTGTCAATTAGACCGTCAGCTAATTGTTGACAAGCTACCACGATTTCCTGTGGGGGCTCCGTATTTTTCCTTATTGGTTCTTGTACACATCCATCAGACTTTAACATAGTGTCCTTTGGTTTGAAGATCTATATTATCAACACATACAAAATTATGTTAAATTTTTAAGAAAATAATTTTTACTTACACTCATAAGAAGACCCTCCAGCCAAGTGGTTCCAGTATCATGAGCAGAATTTACCACGTCAATTATTTGATTGATTTTCCGCTGTATGCCAAGCTAAATTTAAAAAACAGAGGGTTAAAAAATTTGTACAGTAAAACAACAAGATTCCCTATATATTGTTGTCGTTATAGAAAACAAATTTATTTTGAAAATGGAAATGGTATAATTTATTTATAAAATTAACTACTCTTAGGTAGAATATCTATGTAAGTCTTAAAACCAAATTTTAGTTTTTTACCCTTGCAGAAGGCTTTATAATCTCAGTTAAAAGTTTTGTTGCACCCACAATCATTCTTGTGGCGACATGATGACTTGCCAAAAATATATTCGTATTTTTCATACTGATTTTTTGGCAGATTTAGCTGAGTTTACATAGTTGCTTTAACATAATTATTAACAAAGTGCACAGACTCTGGAATGTAAAAATCCACAGGGAAAAACGCAGTTTAACCAAACATCCCGGTACCCTTAAAAGGATCTTCTTTCTACATTTCTCAGTATGTCAAGACACACTGGCCTACATATTTAAATTATTATCGCAAACATATAAGCGGACCGAGTATTAAATATCAAAAGAATTACAGCAAAGTTAGACAGTAGGTCAGCCGAACAATCTGTACTTCGCCGAAACAATACGGTTAGCTGACACCACGATTTCATATATCGGGCAATAACTTGTGCTACCAACCCATTTTGTCTATAGTAAAATAAGAAAAATATTTATATTTCTCTTTCCACTTACTTTGTTAGCCTAAACACTTTTGTACCAGTAAATTTCCTATAAATACCGTTAAGTTTATTCAATGAATTCAGTATCAAACTCAAACGATCAAAGAGCTGTTACTCAACCCCAGTCGAAATCATCAGAGGCTGTCGCTGTGTCTTCAGATCCTCACGTGACGTGAATTCAACAAGAAATAACATCCGGAATGCATTGGGGATACTAACCAAATAAGTCGTTTTACCGAAATTGTCAAGAGACGGCAGCTTAAGGAAGCTTGAACTAAATCGACTTAGGAAATTAGAAGGCTGGTCAACAAGGCGACTATCTCCATGAAACGATGTGATAAACCATTTTTTTTTGACACCGGACACACATAGCAGTCAACTAGGTGACACTTTAAAACCCCTCTTACGTCCTCAACCATTCTTACAGATCTGTCAGTCAGATATGAGGCTACCAAAACTTTGCACCGACCTTAGACTGTTCCAGTTTCTTGAACCAACTTTGGTTGCGACTCGAAGTGTATCCAGCATAAGCGAATAAAACACTTCCATCGGGTCATAAACACAGAACAAGGAACGAAAATGGCGGACGGCAAAGGAACATCTGCAGAGGTACAAGAAATATTAGATACACAACAGGAAATAGCAAATGACATTGCTCTGTGTATCAAGAATTAAAAAAGGTGTCCATCCGCAAACAAAGCAAGGCTGTCGGGCCTTAAAGAAGCCTGGTAGATGTTTATGCGATAATATCTGTCACAAAAAAAATGAGGCACATGTAAAGTTCGCCAATATACTAATATATTTAAAAAGGTCTCAAAAAATTCTATCGGAAATTGGCAGCCTGGCACCGAAATTAGTGACAAAAGGCTAACCTCACTGTGCCGTCGACAATCGTTTCCTTAAAGGCCGCACTTAAGGAATATACGACTTTAAAAGGGCAACCCTCTAATGATTTCGTGTGGACACAAGTACAAGAAGTCCACCTAAGAATTTACGAGGGCCCAGTCGAAAGTGCAGAAAATACTCATTCGACGGGGAACTTTTAAAATTGAGTTCAGTTTTTCGATCTGTTTTAATGCTTGGTCCATGAAACAAACATACCCGCGATCAAAAAGATGTGGTACCTAAAAACCCTATTGATTAGGAATTCTGAAAAAATGATACGCCAAATATAACTCAAAGAAGAAAACTATATGCAAGCATGGCGTAGTTGACTCATATAACAAGACAAAAAAACTTGCGACCACAGTTATTAGTCGATTGCTGAAGAAGAACGCATGTTTCGACAATGCCAAGTCACTACATGAGCTATATCTAACTACTATAGAATCCCTCGCCTCATTAAAGGGCATAAGCATTGACGTTTCAACTTGGGATCCATTCCTTGTTGCGATGGGTTCAAATAAGGTGCACATAACAAATAGGGCTTTGTATGATCAATCTACAGAAGTACAGCCTTCGCACGCTTGATTTTCTTGATCAAAGAACAATGAATTCTAAAATATGTGAAACAAAAGAATTTGACTTGTGTATCATCATCAAGCGGTAAAGTAAATTCGTGTAAATTCTGTAGGAAGGGGTTCCATCCGTTATATAAATGTGAGGAATTCAAATCGAATGAGGTATGCTAACAATTAAATTGGGTTTTGAAACAGAAAAAGTGTGTCAAGTACTTAAGCATTGATCATAAAACAAAAAATTGCCGCAGTGGAGCGTTTTTCAAATGTATGAAAAATCATCACACGCTATTTCATCTTGAAACCGCTTTAGGATCTACCGAGCCTCAAGCACCAATTGTAGGTGCGGCGAGCAACAATAACAATAACCTACTCGTCACAGCCAAGGTGGCAGTACAAACCAATAATGGGCAATACGCTTATATCAGAGCTTTGCTCGACTTTGAATCACAGATTAACCTGATCACGAATGTTTTCAATGTTATCATTGAAGCTCCACAATGCAACATTACGAATTAAAGGGATTGGCAGAGTTAAAAAAAACTAGTAAGGCACACGTCAATATACTAGTGAAGTCACGGTATGGTGGTTCTACACAGCGAATTAAAGCATTTGTGTTACACCAAATAATACCTGATCAACCAGCTCAACCATTATCGCTGAAAACTACGAAGTCAAGAAATACGCATTGGCGGATCTTAGCTTTGACAAACCTGGGAGAATAGACTTGCTCATTGGAGCAGAGCACTATTATTCATTACTACTACCAAATCAGCAACGCCTCTCACCAAGGGATCGCAGCCGGATAGGTATATTTTATCGGCAAATCTTTTGCAGTTAACCCAATAAACATACAGGAGGCAAACAATTTAATAGAAAGGGCTTGGACATTGAAAGTTCTGGAAACAACTGACAGGCAAAGGTGTCCCGTAGAAGCGTTTTGTGAAAGCCACTTCGTCGGAAGTTTGAAAAGCCTCTGGAATACTTAAGCGTCACATCACTTGGTTGGCACCGTTGTTCCCAGAAGATAAATGTTGCAAACGCGCAAAGCCCGAAGAAGAGCCAAATGAGTATCCCAACGAGCAACCAACACGTCGTAAAAAAGTAGTGATGTTAACAATACTCTGAAATAATCTACGACCAACGTGGCACTGCTCGGATGATGGTTTTTAGAATGGACACTTATTATATACTACTACTTAAAATCGTACCATGATGACATAAAATATTTAAACTCCGGAATCGGTCAACAAGCCCAAATGAGTCTGAGAATGCTAAATAAACCAGAATTCGGGTCAATTCTAGGACACATTCAACCTGTATGCGCAGAGTTACAATCCAGAAGTGCACTATTGCACCACTTTCGACACCGCAGGTTTCCAGTCAATGGTCTTGGGAACATAACAAACTCGTTATTATTATTATTATACTGAACTATCAATATCATTTAAAGAAATTAGGTATTAACTGATAATCGCCTTAAGGTGTTGGAGCACCATATCGCCTTAATCTAGCAGAAGAACGGAAAATATCAGGGCGATTGGAGGTAACAAACCTCTTAACTGATATTCGTCATCGGACAAATAGTTCTACTGTGGCCTCTCCGAAGAAACTAAAATAACAACTCGATAAATGTTCAGGGCGATTGGAGGTAACAAACCTCTTAACTGATATTCGTCATCGGACAAATAGTTCTACTGTGGCCTCTCCGAAGAAACTAAAATAACAACTCGATAAAATCAAAGACCATTTAGCACCAGACCAAATGCTTCCGGTCTCAACGGAAGATGCAATCGAACTGTACAAAATCATGCAAGCAGAAGGAACCATAACAGACACCCATAGTCCGCGTCACATTTCAAATGGTATCCACAACGTCTCAAGAAGTCAAGAGAAGTCAGGAACATGTACTCATTCAAACTAAGGACTTGCATTATTGTGGTCAACGCCCACAAAGATCAATTCGTGGGATTCACTGAGGATGAGTACCAATGATGCCAAACTGTTCTCAACAATGTCCACATCTGTTCCGCTTATCAAACAGTATTCAACGAAAAGGACCGATGTGAATTCAAATTATTCAACAACAAATTGTCAACGCATTGTGATATTATTGAAACCACTTTCGACATGGTTTGGGTCAAAACTTCACAACCCACTTGATCTTCAATCTGTCTGCAATGGTCAGCACACAACGATACACATAGAAAGAACTGTGTTACTATATCTTTGACTTCTTTCAAGTGTGTCTTATAGCGCAAATGCAACAGACGCTTTGTGATGCTGTGAACACGTTTTTGGGAGTAAACGCAAATAGTAATGTATCTGAAGGATGATCCCACTGGACACCAAGTGCACTGGTCACGCCGTATGTACTTAGGTTGAGATCGTTGTTAGTGTGACTTTCTACGAACTTATTGTGATTTGTCATTTAGTACACTAAAACTGACCGCGTTCTAGTAATTTGGTGACTTCATCCTTTACGAGTCGATAGCTCATCCGCTCCGATTAGTAAATCGTCGACTTAGAACTTAGTCCTTATAACCGCAGTACCAATGGGATATTCAGCTAAATAATGTAGACTACGTACAGCGAGATATGGTTTGGAAGCCTGGAAAGTCTCCTCAGAAAATGTACTGAAATCTGAGTCAGTTGTGTCAACATTTACTACATTTGTACATTTTTGCTATGTCGGCGACCAGGGTCAGGGCCGTAGCTAGAGCATCGGGGACCCTGGGACAACGAGTAAATTGGCCGATAAGAAGGGGCACCGCCCCACCTGTCCCAAGCTAGCTACGGCCCTGGTCAGGGCATATCGTGCTAGTCAAAATCGTAGTAGTGCGGGCCCGCTAAGTTAGGATTTGTCAGGAGTGCCATGTGGCCCATTTGTTCATATTCGTTCATGAACATACTATATTGTGTGTATATTTCCAGTAAACGTACAAATCACCGTTCGTTCATGCTCCTCACACAATTGGTGTTCTAGCTTCAGTCGCTTCTACCTCCCATATACGCTTTGAATTGGCATTAATGGCTGCTGAACCTTGAGCCAGATAAAAACCTATTACTCCCTTGATTGATTTGGGCAGTGGCTTTGAAGAGTCAGCAAATGGGAGCCAAGTTTGACTTGGTTCACAGCGAGGATATCGAAGAATGCCTGTGCCCCTACCAGCATGTAAACGCTTCGGGAAAGATGAATTTGGTTATCCGCTAAAGGCGTAATAGGCGGAAGATTCCAGGTTGAGATTTCAATTTGTGTATACGGTTGATATGCGATGTTAGGCGTTATGCAGAGACAGTTTGAAGGGCGAATTCGAATTTGAATTCTGTGCTTTTTTTTGAGCAAAGGCCTCGGTCATAGAATTGACCTGGTAGCACGAGTGGTTGAGAATAGGCACTGCTGTGGTTGCAAATGAGCATATATTTTTCGTTTTTTTTTGCCATTTTTTTATTTTACACGCCACTAAAGGATGGTCATTGTTCTCATGTATGCTTAGGAGTGTTCAAAGATCCCAAATATTCGGGTATCAAGTGCAGTGCAGGTAAAAGCTTGTCAGCATTCTTGTGTTGTTATAAGAGGCGTCCGTGTCTATCACGGCCAATAATCCAAATGACCACTGTCGTCGACCCAATGGTGTAGCAAGATGTCTAGCCAGACGGTTCGTGAAATCCAGCAAGCGATCTCTGTATCGATTTGAAAAGCTACGATTTGTCTCCTTAACCGTCGGCACTCCCGTGTCGTTAAACAATGGTGCCATTTCACACCCAGTATCCTCCTAAGCGCCTTTGATATGCACGCTTGTACCCTTTTAAGAGATGACTCACAAGCTGTGCCCCAGCCTTGAAGAGTCACTTAGCCCGAAGGGTTAGACCGTTTTCTGGACGAAGAAGCCAGTCTATTCTGTCCAGTTTTGATCTTGCTGAGCCTCACACGCGGTCAATTTGTCCTTTCCAACAAAGGCGACGGTCCAATGCGACGGTTCAATGGCGCAGGTCAGATGTGGCGTGTTACGTTTTGTCGAAGTTCAGTGAAATAATCCACCCAGAAGCCCAACACTCGATCGGTTGTGACGAACTGGTTGATGGTTGTGATGATGCAGCCTGCAGACAGCTATGGTGATGCAACAGCATACGATTAGTCTGATTGCATCTTCGACAGAAAATTGTCGACGGAGAATTTGACTGGGCATTCGTTTTTACCACTTCTAATCGTTGCGGTGAATCCAAATTCCGAAACTGGTCCCATGCCATGAGCCTGCGTCCAGAACTGCAGCAAAAAACACGAAAAGGCTTGGTAAGCGCAAATGAGGAGTTGTGAGCGTTGTTGTCGGATGCAGACGCAATGCGTAATTGTTCTGCATTCGACCAGTTAACAGGCTGCAATTTTGATGTTTTTGTAGGCATAAATATTAGCGCGGGCTTTTCATATCAAGCCTTCAACTTATCAAAAGCCTTGGGAAAGTTCTCATTAGGGACTGGGAACGCCATTACTGCTCCCAGTGCTGGGCCCTTCAGACAGTTGAGAAGACTGTTGAGTTTATCGATGAATGACGAACGACGAACGACGTAAACGACGTTAGGAAGTTCTTGTACTCCGTGTCAGTATCATCGAAGGTATTCAGTGGCAGTCTTGGAAGTTTTGACTGCGGTGGTGACGGAGTTCTGGAGGAGTTGTTTGATAGCCAATTTGGTGGTGATGAGTCCAGTGTTTCAGTATGACACCGAATTCCGAGACACCATTGGAGTTCAGCGGAAGAGCGGTTGAAAGATTCCTTCTCAACATCAACCAATGATTTTATGAGCGAAATGTTTCGCTTAGCATTGGCTCTTTGACCCTTGGCCCCGTCAAGTGGGCTTGGGCTCGCCAACATGACTTTTTTCACTTAAATCACAATTTTATAGGTTAAAGTTGCAGCGCGCAAGACGACAGAAAAACTTCTGCGACGGTTAAGCGTGACGTCTTGCCGTTAGTTTCCGAAAGCGCCAACTTTTTGGGGTGACAAATATAAGGACAAGCGGCTACAGAAGATCGAAAACCGAAAAGAAATGCAGAAACAAAACGTTTCCCTTGTAATTTTGAGTCGACAGTAGATCAAGAATTGCAAGCGCACACCGAAAACGAAGAATTTTCCCGTTCGTTTGCGACACTGGGCTGCACGCACAAAGTTTTTGGCACACTTAATTAATAAAGATTCATTAGTTGTTTAGTTAAAACAGTTTAGCTAACAGACATGTCCCATGTTGAGCGCAAAATGTCCACAAACTATTTTGTTGCGACTTGAAACTGGGTCTGGGAAGTGTGTATGTTGATGACTAGTCAAGAATATGTTCTCCGTTTGACACTCTTTTTATACCTTTGCAGAGGATATTATAACTTCAGTCAGAAGTTTGCAACACAGTGATGGAGAAATTTCCGACCCTATATATATTTTCTTGATCAGCATCACTAGGAGAGTCGATTTAGCCATGTCCGTCTGTCAGTCCGTCTGCCCCTCTGTTTCTACGCAAACTAGTCTCTCAGTTTTAAAGCTATCTGCATAAAACTTTTTCAAAAGTTGTCTTTCGTTTGCAGGTAGTACATAAATCGGAACACGACGGATCGGACGACTGTAGCATATAGTTCCCATAGGAACAATCAGAAAAAAATATAAATAAAGTATATATATGTATACATATAGTAATGGTTAAACATTCAGAATTACGGTTTAGAGTTCATAAAAATCAAAGGACTAAAAAAATAATATTTTTTTAACTTAAAAAAAAAAAATTTTGAAATATTAATAATTTGACAGTTCAGAATGACGCTTTCAATTCTATTACAATCAGCTGAGTTAACATAGATAGTTTAACATAATTATTAACAGAACGTACTCTAAAATGTAAAAATACACAGTGAAAAACGTAGTTTGACCGAACAAGAGTGATCATTATATTATATAGCCATGTACGTTTTTTGTCTTACGTCTGACAGATAGTTTGTGGCTAACTTTTTAAGAATACCGTTTTCAACTTTATAAAAATCTGAAAACGATTTCATATAGCTTCTATTATAACGGCAATTATCTTTTTTGGAAAACAGACATAGTTTTATGGGTTTTGAGCATATACAAACTAAAATCGGTAAAAAAAAAATCGTTTTATAGCTTCAAGGGCACATACACATCGGATTGCCGAAATATGCTTATTTTCTTGTTTGTTTTTAACTCAGAAAGAATTTAGTTTAACTTTAACTTTAGTGTTTATAATTTATAATATCATATAGGGTCTCTTATCCCGGTTATAAAATACTTTAAACGGTGTTTTAAAACAGCTTTACGGGTTATATATAGTTAGAATTTAAGAATACACACAACTACAAGCAAATATTAAAAGGCGTTTCAAATTGCTTGAAAGTAAAAGTACAAACGATAAAAGCGTTGTTTTCAAATTGGTGTTTTCAAAGTCGACGACCAACATTACTTGAGAACGGCTTAACCAATAAGTCTCAAATTTTAACCAGAGCTTTTTCAATATATTTTTAGGAATTGATCGAATGGTTTTTCGCACCGAAAAATAAATTTATTTATAAACAATTTATGTCCGAAATTTTGGTCAAAAATACATTTTTTTTTAGATACCGTTTCACTAATTTTACTTATATTGCCTCGCCGGGCAACGCCTCCATGATTTCTGGGGCTTGTACGTTTTCTAAGCATGTTTTTAGTTTAACTGCATGTGATGTTAATTGGTTCATATGCTGACAGTATATTGTTTTCAGTAGGGTAGAATTTGATTGGCCAGCGACTGCCAGCAATCAGCCGTTCTGTTATACGTGGCGTTGCCACTTTTGTTGCGGTGCTCCCTGAGCTCCTTTAAAAATAAATATTTTTACTAATACTAAGTCTTAAAATACAGTTAAAATAATATGTGAACTAATTTTTGTTTCAACAAATTTAAAAGTTTTTTCGGATAAAATTCTGGAAAGTTAGTCTTTTCGGTTAAGCACTTTGCGTTTTTAAAACATTGCTGGTACTCACTTTGTCATTTTTTATACATGGTGTAAACCACATTTTCATAAAAACTTCAGTAACAAGTTTTTGAATGCCTTCTTCGTCATTGACACGTCGTATCATTTTAACGCAAATTTCGGGAATTTTCGCAAAATCTGGATATTCTATACAGATATCTCTTAAAATTTTTATGACTCTTTTCCGCACGGATACCCCAGTATCCTAAAAACAAAAAGTTGTTAATTAGATTTATAAAATACAGTTTTTTAGGACAAATTACCAATATTCGAGTCGACAGCATGTCATAATATTGATCGATTAATTCTTGATTACTAAGCACAAATTTTCCAACCAAATCTACCGCAGCTTCTCGTACTGAAATAGCTGTATCTAGGAATTTTTGATTAACACCCATTTGCATGTCTTTTCGTTTCAGTACCAATGGATCCACTTCCACAATATTTGCAAGACATTTCATTGCACGTGTTCTTACTGCAATGGACGGTTCACTGCGTTATACCAAAAATGAGCAATAAGTTAAACTGTATGAAAAGGCAAACGTTGATAAATACTTACTTAACTACTAAAATAATTTTTTTTAAGCATCCATCGAATGATTGACTGAAAGGCCGTTTAGTGGCCAGATACTGCGCTATTAGTTGTGCATTGTTATAATCTATGTATGTTTTTATATGCTGATTTGATGTGTGGGTTTGCTCTCCAGAAACTGCAAATGGCTTAATTTTATTGATTAAATATAGCTTTCTTGCCTCCAATGTGTTAAATATTTCAAGATTAAGCTCAAAATCAATATCGACAATAGACGGATTTCCATTTTTTTGCGATTCTTCGATGTCTATTTCTTCGCACGATCCAGAATCGGATGTATCCAAATATTCACCTTAAAAAAATTAAAACAATTTACAAATGTAGTGTATAAAGATTAAGAATTGAAATAGGCTTATTTGTTTTATTTATATAGTTTCATAATTAATTCGTTAACATAAAAGAAGGCAGTACATCTTATTTAGAAAGATTATTTTTTGACTTTTATTTTAATTTTTTTTTTGTAGTGTACAGAATTTTTAATTTTAGTTGGGCAGCGTCTTTTACATTTTTTTGGCTTAGGTTCCAAAGATGAACAAAATTGACAGATGATTAAAATATTGATTTTTCAGAAGCATTGAATACAGACAGGCTGGCTGTTTAGTACAAATTTTTCTGTGGAGGACGGTTAGTAGTCTGAACTATATGAACTGTAAACATGTCTACACAAACATTACCCCCAGTTAAAGGGCAAAAATTTACCAAGCCTACCAAGCCTCTTAAGGATATCTGGTTTAGAAATTTAGACTTTTAAAAAACAGATCGTTCAAAATTCGAATTATTTTGGAATTGCAGCCGATTTTGTGACGAGGGGTCCGAGCCGTTATAAATGTTTCCAAAACTTTAAACTTTACTCTTTCTGATGTGGTTGACATGATATTTCAAGTTCTACTGAACCGATTCGAAATTTTGTATACAACTGGTTTATACTACTCTCTATCGCCACTGCTTTGGACTTGATTTATTTTTAAAATATTCAAAGTCGTTTTGTTATTTTATATTATTTTTTTTAAATCGATAACGTCATTCCAAAAAAGGCATCTTTAGTAATGTAAAATTTGTTTACAAGGTCTGAAATCATGTCAGCAGTTTTTTTAGTATTGACGAACAATGATTAAAAAAAAATTTTATTACAAATATTCTTAAAATGTCAAAAAACTATATAAAAAATTGTATATTAAAAATGTTTTTCATTTCTTTTTTATCTTACTTGAAAAAATTCCTTCATTTTAGACTTCTACACCAGAATGCCCCTCCCTAAAGTGGCCGTCAGAAAACCATTTTGTCTTTTTACATAGACTATTTAAATGGTTTTGAACAGTTTTAAAGTCTTGTAGAAGTTTCTAAAGGTTCAAAAATAGAATTTTTGATAAAAACCACTGAAACAAAACATCGCAAAGGTGAAACTTTTTGAAAAGTAGCACTTACTCCTTATTTAATAACTTCTGATTATTCGAAGACAACTTTATAATTTTTCGCCAATGATTTATTATATTTAATTTTAATAAAAAAATTTAAAAATAATTTTAAAAATCTTGCAGAGGATATCATACAGTTGTTCAAAAATTTGTAACGCGGTAAAAGAGACATTTCCAACCCAATAACCCAATAAAGTATATATGTTATTGATCATCATGACTGTTACCACTCCAGTACAGCAACTTGAAATTTAATTATAATTTTAATACTTATTATTTTTTTTCTAAAAAATTATCAATGGGCTGAACGATACATTTTGGCATCAATCGATGTTCATCGCGATTACGATAATGCCCTATGTGACGTTTGCAAAAAGATCGACCCGTTACCGACATTATTTGAGTGCAATGTGAAAATTGCAAGACTTGGTATCATTATGCTTGCGTGCGCGAGGAAAGTGACGATAAAGGCTTGGCCTGCCCTACTTGCGAGCAAATTACACCCAACAACACTTTAAAAGATGTAGACACCACCAGTAAGGTACCGCAAGGTGCAGCCGCACAAGGCCAAGAAGTTAGCCCATTAGCTCCTTAAAAACAATTAAAAGACTATCCGGATCCGATGCAGATCGTGGAAAACAACTTGCAGCAAATCAACGTAGCTCAGGTAAAGATTGACAAAACGAGTTCGAATTATTCAAAGGCTCCAATCATCAACACATCCAGAAAAAGCATGAAAAACTTGCACAGCAGTGTGGCGCAAACATGACGTTGTAACCTAACAATAAGGTCCAACCAGCGCTCAGCTATCAGCACGCCAAATACTTCCAGCAGAATTACCAGACGAGGGGTCCACCTTTATAAGTGCACTTGAGAATAGCCCCTCTGTGGCTGTCTTCTCAAATGTAGAGAACATGTTACGCCTGCAAAGTTGTCTTAAAGGAAAGGCGTACGACCTAGTGACCTACTTCCGCAGAATTACCAGACGAGTGGCCCACCTTTATAAGCGCATTTGAGAACAGCCCCTCTGTGGCTGTCTTCTCAAATGTAGAGAACATGTTACGGCCGCAATGTTGTCTTAAAGGAAAGGCGTACGACCTAGTGACAGACAAGCTTTTGTTGCCAACAATGGTCCCCGAGGTCATAAGCACATTAAAGACCTTTTTCGGCCGTCCCCATTAAGTTTTGGATCGCCTTATCGACAAAGCAAGGAGAATATCCATAAACAATGACAGTTGGCAGTTCGCAACATCTGCGCTACGATGGAAGCATGCAAACTCGACGCTCGCATCAATATCCTTATACTTGTAAAGGAGTTAGTTGCCAAGCTCCCAAATCAATATAAATTGACTTGGGCAATGCACCCAAATGACGGATCCATTGGAAACGTAAAGCCTTTTAGTGATTGGTTACACAAGATCGCCGAAGCCGTCTCCACCGTGGTTTCAACGCCGTACTTAAAACCAAATGACGTACACACTCACACCAGCTACAACACCGAACGGCCACTACACACCGAATCGGATGAACCTCCACACGCCTACAGCTTTGAGAACACGCCTTGCTTCAAATGTCAAAGTACACAGCATCAAGTCGCACAGTGTGAAGGGTTTCGTAATCTCCCCGATGAGGAAAAGGAGCTAGTTGTTCGTTACAATCGGCTGTGCTTTAAGTGCCTAAAGCGCCATTGAAGAAGATGCTTCTTAACTAGGCCGTGTGGGATCGGAGGATGTGAATCAAGACATTATTCTCTGCTCCATAAAGGTGAGGTAGACTAATAATGTCGTTGCATCTCACCAAGCCAAGTCCCCTGACGGAGAGCAATATTATCGAATTGTGCCCATAAAAGTTCATTGCAGCAATATTATCATTGACTCTTTCGCCTTCTTAGACGAGGGATCTTTGGTGACACTCATTAACGAAGCATTCTTCAAGAGCTGTAACTTACGCGGCAGTCTTGACCAAATATGTATGCAGTGGACTAATCAAACCACCAGAATGGAAAGGAACTCTGTGCGCTTTAATATTCGAGTCTCAGGAGCAGACGTCCAAAAATTTGGGCCTACCAAGACAAACTGTCAATGTAAGTGAGTTAGCCGCCAAATACCCGCACCTAAAGGGAATACCCTAAAAGTCTTATTCAAGTGCTGAACTAGTGCTTCTGATTGGCACAAATAATTGAAAGCTTGCTGTTCCTCTCCAATTACGAGAAGGAAAGTGGAACGATCCCATTGCGTCGAAGTGTATAAGATTGGACTGTCTGAAATCAAAAATATCCCGGGAACCTGACTTGTATGATAAGATTGAGCTACGGATCAAAAATTTACTCGAGAAGGGTTACGCTCTCGAGATGTCTAGGGCCAAAATGACTATACAAGAGCATGAGCGCGTTTGGTACCTTCCGATATTTATCATTCACAACCCAAATAAAACAGAAAAGGTTAGGCTTGTATGGGATGCAGCAGATAAATCTCACGGAAAGTCACTGAACGATTTCATGATCACGGGTCCCGAGCTTTTGCATCCCCTCACTGAAGTTTTAATGGTGTTTGTGGTTGGAAAAATAGCCGTTTGCGGTGTCATTGCGCAAATGTTCCACCAAATTCGTATCCAGGAAGCAGATTCGCACGCTCAGCGATTTATATGGTTTAACAAAAAAAATAGAGCTCCAAGGATATTTGTAATGAAAGCAATGGCTTTTGGTATATCCTGCGCTCCATGCATTGCTCATTACGTGCGAGACAAGAACGCGGAGGAGTATAAACTGAAGAGTCCCCGAGCCTTTAAAGCTATTACTGGAGCACACTGTGTCGACGACTACATAGACAGTCTGACCGACGATACAGAAGCAATCAAGGTTTCCTTAGAGGTTCATAATACACGCCGCAGGAAGCTTCAATATAAGGAATTTAACTCCCCTGAAGTTCTGAAGCATTTGCTGGGTGACACGATTACCCTACAACCGGAAAAGGAGCTCAGAGATGCAGAGAAAGTCCTTGGTATGTTTTGGAAAAAATAAACTAGATGCAAAGCTGAAAAAATAACAAGACACCTTTCGATTGAGCAACTAACGTAGGCAAAAAAATTATTTTCAGGAAAGCGCAGCAGGATGGCTTCAAAACAGAACTTGACACCCTTCAATCAAGCCAAAACATAACAAAACCAAGCGCATTAATCGGCTTGAACGTATACATTAATAATGCGAAAATAGCACGTACTCAAGGCCGGGCGGATTCTATAAATCAAAACAGAGACCAGATCGTACTGCCAAAGCACAATCACATTACAAATCTTATAGTAAAAGACTTTCACAAGAAAAAACACAGTATGCTTCACTAGGGCAGTTATCAGTTGCGAATCATATACAAATCGGTTCGAAAATCGTGTCAAAGATGCAAGAATAATTCTGCAATCCCGGAACCACCACAGATGTCGTCACTCCCTCCAGCCAGAATCGCTAGTTTCGAAAGGACATTTACATACACTTGAGTGGATTGTTTTGGGCCTATACTGGTAACCGTGGGCCGACATAAGGAGGAGCGCTAGGGCGTTATTTTTACATGCCTCACTCTACGTGCCGTCCATATAGAAATAGCCTTTAGCCTTGACACTAGCTCATAAGTAATATGCCTAAATAACTTTATGTCCCGCCGCTGGACACCAAAGGAAATATTTTAGGACTATGGCACAAATTTTAGAGCAACAGAGAAGATCGTCAAGGAGGAGCTAAAGAACATTGACTTTGGGAATCTTGTCATCAAATATGACCAGATCAGGCGGCGCTTCAATCAACCAGCCGTTCCGCACATGGGCGGAGCCTGGGAGCGCCTAATTCGTTCCATTAAACTGGTTATTAAGTCGATTTCACCGAACTCCA